GGAGTAGTTATTTCGACTATTTGGTCTATTGTAATGATTTTGTGACGAATTTTGTGTATTTCTTCGTTCTGGTGATCTTCCTCTATAACTTGAGTTATATGGTGATTGGTTTCTCGTGTAGTTGGTATTGTTCGGAAGTGGTTTTCCTGAGCTGTTGTTGCTGTATACATTTTTGTTCGGTAGATTTTGATCTTTCTTCATGTACTGATAGAATGATTTATTCGGTTCTTTATATTTTTGAGGTTTATTTTGATTGTCCTGTTGTTTTGTCTACATTCAGAAATACTATGTCCTTATCGTCGGCAATAATTACACCATTTTTTGAAAGATGGTTTGCCTTTAAAGTTTGGGTGTTTTTCATAAATATTGAGTATTTCAGTGATTTTTTCAACGAAGTCTGTATCTGAATCCTGTATATTGTTGATATTTGTGGTATTTGTTTCAATTCGGTTAACATATTGTAATTTCTGATTTTCTGTTTCTTCAAGTTTCATTGTGATTTCCGCTTGCTCTAGCTTGTCTACTAGTTTTCGAAAAACTAAATCGGGCTCTCGAATTGAGGAGGGATGGGATGCTCTCTTTTTTATTGCTATTTTCCTTAATTGAGGTGTTAAGGTCATCATTAAGATTTCTGTCATTTTTGTGTTTTTATAATCGTGTGTATTTAATGAATATGCTTTTCGAACTAGTGTTTCGATACGTACTGCTAATTGTTTGATGGTTTCATTTGGTAATCTGCGAATTTCATTACATAAAACTCTTTGTTGTTGTTTGTTTCTTTCGGAGTCAAACATTTTTGAAAATTCTTGTGTAAATCTCTTCCGATTTGATTTTATTTCTATAGGCAATACTGAAAACCATTTTTTGGGCTGCGCCGTCTAGGGTTGTCTGTATCAACGCTGTGCGTCGATGTATCCAGTTTTGATGTAGTGGCGTATTAATTGGTTCAGGTCCTATATTTAGAATTAAATTTGCTGTTACTGCATTTAAATAATCTTCTACAGAATATTCAGGGTCTGTTCCTGTGAATACCATTAATGGTTTGTTTGATGTTATTGATGATCCACCCATAAGGTATGGATTCATTGTCATTTGTAATGATTCTGCTGCATTTGGCATTTGTGAAAAATTAGAAAGTTGATTTTTTGTTATTTCGTGTTGTTGAACATAATATGGAAGTGGTATTTCATTTTGCATTTGTGTTGGTTGATATGAGTGTGTAATCATTGGGTTTTGTGGCTGAATTGGTTGAAAAGATTGTGTATTAATTGGATTTTGCATTTGTATTGGTTGTTGATTTTGTGTATCTATCTGGTGTGGAGAAAAATTTCTATGATGTGTATATGGTTTCTGCATTCCTTGTCCGCGATATTCTTGGGTATATGGTGCAAATATATCTGGTTGTAAATGATCATCATCAGAGGATAGGTAATCCGTTTGATGAGGTGCTTGTTTTTTATTTTTATTCTGTTGAAAGAATGGGTAATTTTCACTATGATCCTGTGGAGGATGTGGATTAGCTTGAAAATTTACTGAATTGGTTGTTGCCATTGGATTATTCCAATATCGAGATCTGATTTGATTATTATTATTATTTCGTGGAGGATAATTTGTTTTTGATGAATGTGTATAATTATAATTATGTTCCGCAAAATTGTTTCTTGTGAATGTTCTGCGTGTTTTTGACGGTATTGTCATGGGTCTATATGTTTGGTAATCCATTTGTGAATATTTTGGAGCAACCGAAGGTTTAACGGTTGATTGTATGGTTACCTGTGCTAGCGAAGTGTTTGTATTTCTTGGTGTTGTTAAATTTGGACGTATTGGTGAAATACTTTGTTGTGTAGTTGTTGTTGTTTGGACAATTTCTTCATTTATGAAGTGTGATGGTGTCTGAATATCTTGTTGAGTGAGATTTCTAGTTCCATTAAGGTTTTCATTGTGTATGACGGTTCCGAATTTAAACTGTTATTTCGAGTATCAGGTAAAAATGTATCGTAGTTTAATGGTGTTGCATCGATGGTTAATGGTACTACTCTTACATAATCTCTTATATAAGATATTGTACTTATTGCTTGACTTGCAATTGATTGTGGGATATTTATAAATGCATAATGAGACCATTCGGGGTCCCAAACGTAGTCTGACTGTTCTGTGATGGCGGTATCATCGTTTGAATTTTGAGGTCTAAAATTTTTTCTTGCTTGTGAAATTAAATCTATATTATGTGTGAAATAATCTATTATAAACCATGCCAAAATTTTTTGTAAGTCATGTTTTGTATGTTGTGAAACTTCATCTTTAGTGAAATTTTCTTTAATTATATTTAGAAAAGATGAAAATAGTGTGATTTCATGTCGTACCCTTATATGTTTAGATGTCTCTGTCGGTGAGACATTTGAGATTGGGATTTCGTTTTCTAATATTGAGATATAACTATATATTATTGCAAAAACTTCATTAGTAAATATGGAGTTTGCTCTTTGTGAGTTATGATATTGTATGCTTTTTATATATTCTGAGAATACTTTTGAAAATTCTAAATCAAGGTCGTCTGTTTGAATTACATATTTGCGGTGATTCGGGTTTGGTGAGGTGAATTCTATGGTGTGGATTCCGTAGTGTTGTGTCAAATTACATATATCTTTCAGATAGTGATCAATAATTTGTCTTTTGATTTTTACATCTGGGAACTCTGTCTTACATGGGCTGATTCCGGGTTCAAACAAATTTAGTAGTAAATTCTTGCAAAGTATATGCTGTCCTCTATCATTGGGTGCATCTACGAGGAAGGGGAAGATATCGTCATCATCTGGACTATCTTCACTTGGAGTGTGTGTTTGGCTCATTTTTTCGTTTAATGACTGTTAATAGGTAATTATCGATGTGTCTAATTGGTTGATTTCAGTTATATAAGTGTACTGGTTTGTGTTTATATTGCTTTTTTATTCGTCTTTTTCCTCTTTTTGATGAATTTGAAGTTGTTTCTGAGTCGGAAAAATATAACTGATCGTGAATGGGACAATTTTTATCAATTGATTCTTTTAATTTATAAAGTTCGTCTAAATTGCTGACTTCTGATTCTGAAAATGCGTTTCTATTTTTGGAAAATCTTTTTCGTGTTATCTGTCTTTGTTTAGTTATTATTTTTCTTTTTAGTGTTTGTCGTTTTGTTCTAATATATCCAACTGTTTGTGTGTGAGGTGTGATTACAAGGTCGTATTTTTTGTTATCTATTTCACAATTGTGTAGAACGATTGTTTGTTTGTTTCCAAGATTTTTAAATGACATAAGGTTTAGGATGACGGATGCAAAACGTTGTTAGATGATTTCTATTTTCTTAAATTGTTAGTCCTTACGATTTTTTGGTTAGCTTAACCTGGGTCTATCAGGGTCTATCAGTCTTAATCAGGGTTGGAGAGAAAAGTATATCGATTCCGAAGAATGATTTTTTACTTTCTCGTGGCTAGTATAAGCTAAGGTGTTAACTTACTTAATCTTACTTAGGGGTAGTGATTGTGTTCAAGGGTTGGAGAATAGTAAATCGATCCACAAGATTCAGGTATAATTAGAACGCGAGTAGTTCGTTAGATACTATTTTAAACTTACTAAGTCTAAGATTTATCCTGGGTCTTGATAAGAGGAGGGTTCAAGTGAAGGATGAATAACCGAAGTTCTTCACTGTTTATCCTAATTTGAATGGTTAGTTTTGTTGAAAAATTTCTATTAGTCTTGGGTTTTTGAAAGGGTTGGATAGTGAATCGACGTTTGAGGTCGTTAGACACTAACTAAGTGGGTGGGGGAGAACAAAATTGTTCTTTTTGATCCAAGGATAGGCCTTGATGATCAAGTTTTAAATTTAATTAAATAGAAAATGAATTAAGATCCAAGGATAAGCCTTGATGACCTGGTTTTAAATTTAAGTGATTTTAAGTTTAAAATGATTTAAATTTGTTTAAGAAAAAGATTTAGTTTTTTTATGATGTTAGTGAGCTTATGATTGCTGTTATGTTTTAGGTGATGAAGCTGGGACAATTGGATGATTTATGATTACTAACAGTTTATTGTCATGCTACTAATTTTTGTTTTGATTTTCAATAAATATTTTCCAAACATGTTTTATATAATACTGCAGAATTTTGGAAAAAACGATCTGAGATCTTTTTATCAATCGTTATTGTATATTAATAGTTTTGTTTTAGCGCCTGAAACGATTATGAAGATTGACTTCAAAATTTTATGTTTGCAAATGAAAATCTAAATTCATTGCTAATAAGATTCTAAATATAAAAGTTTGTGTTGGCTTTTGCCGTACTATCATATAACTATTTGGTAAGTTTCTACTTTGTCGTATGTCGTCTCTGGTTCGAGGTCTTCTTCCAATTCCGGGCAATTCTCTTATCGTTCGGAATATTGGCTTTGATCTATTGAGTCGTAGAGACATCTCGATTAAATTATCGTCGTGTAACATTTTAAAAATGTTTTGTCTAATTTCTAATCTATGTTTGGTTAATTCTAAGCTATTAAGGTCTTGTTCGAGACTTATGGTCGCACCAGATGAGTTAGGACCGATGTGGTTAACTCATAGAGTAATTTCGGATAGGGTACACCGTCTGCTCGTCACGCTATCTTATTTTCGGCCGGATAGATTCGTGCAACTTCTTAGTCTAACACCGATCCTAATCTTACTCTTATACTATCTAGTCTCAGGGTGTTTAACTAGTCTCTGCTAGGCTCAATAGATCTAGGGTATACTGGTTTATTGCGGCTGTTGAAGTCTTCTTGGAGAGTCAACTAATTTCTAAGTTAAATTCAAATCTCTCTGGTGCTGAAATTACAAGTAATTTCAGCACTTACAAATAAGTGGGTTGTTAGTTAGATGGATCATGATTGGTTAATATTAAATACTTTACAGTGGTAAAATATCTAATTTATCCAATCATAAAATGTAGTTTAGATCAGGTTCCAATAGCGCATGCGTAAGTATTGTGTTTTTATAGGTCATGAAAAAACTGGGCGGGGTGAGGCGGTGGTTTCAATAGTCCACGTTGCCGACTCATCGGAGCAGAGCGCTTCAACGGGGGGTGCTATGGGGGGTGGCACTGAACAAAGTACGACAGTGGACAGTGAAAAGACGACGACAACAGAAGGACCTGCACAAGAGACTGGAGTGACACTGAATAGCCAGGATGTGACGGAAGAAAACGATCAAGAAGAGAAAGAAGAAGAAGAAGTAGAAGAAGAAGAGGAGGAGGAGCAGGCGGAAACAGCCCAAGAAACAGCAACAGGTGCGAGTAAAAGTGACGTTTCTGCAGATACCAAACCGAATAAACCCGAAAAACCATCGAGTAAATTGACGGAAGAACCAAGTGTGTCAAAATCTAAGTTGAGTAAATCGCTTTCGAAAACAGAACCAAACAGCCCAGAGAAAGACCAATCAAGCTCGTATAGAAGAGACCAAGTGAAACATTCGCACGACGACAATGGCAGTAGGAGCAAAATGGATGAGTCAGGGGAAGACAACGGGAGGAAAGTTAGAAGCGAGGGAAGTGAGTCAAAAGTGGGAAAAAGTAGCGAAGGAGAGGCAAAAGAGGATAGCAACAGAGGGGAAACAGCGTCTACGAAATTAGTAAACAAGGAAAAAACGAGTGCTAGCGACGGAGATGACAGAATTGCCGAAAGGTCAAGTGGTTCGAAAGTAGATGATAAAAAAGACAAGTCTACAAATGGAGATAATGACAAAGAAAACAGATGCGGACAGGGCAAAGAGAGCAAGAGACCAAAAAAGGGGGGACAGGCCGGGGGAGATCGTATAACACAAGGGGAGGATTTGGTACAAAAGAGCGAGGAGGGAGAGGAAGAGGGTGGGGACTCGTCCAGAATAAGTCAGCTGGCCAAACACAAACAACTCCACCCCGATTACATTGGATGCAGGTATATGGAAGAGATGAAATCAGGGGCGGATTCAGGGAAGGAGCAGGGAGGGGGTGTGCCTCAGGGATTCGACCTCCTGTCAACCCAAAAGGTCCCCCATTTTCCCCCTTTGTACTATTTTGAGATATCCGTTTTTGGTGACGGACCCTAAAAGTTTTCTTAAGGCGCCTCCCGGGTTGACGTCCATAGAAGAAAAAAGCTTCTCATACAGTTTCATACATGAAGTCTATGGAAAAAATGCTTACCATACAAAACTCATACAAAATTCAAAAAAAGTTTGAAAAGTTTTTAATTAACATTTCTAGTCTGTTTGCCTCTTATGAAGCTTTCTGGTCATTAAAAAATTGATTAAAAATTTTCGATAAAATGGCTTGTCAAACAATTTTCATGCATGAAAATTATACGATAATCATTTTGTCATAGAAAAAATAAAATTTTCAAAAATCACCAAAAAACGTGTCTGTGTAACTTTAAATAGATTTAAATAGGTATATCTAAGATAGAGGGCATTTCGACAATCAAAAACATAATTATAATTTTGGTAGTCAAAAATTATTATCATAGAGTTTTCATATAAGAAAATTGTATGATATGCATTTTTTCATAAGCAAAAACACAAATTTGAGGTAAAAACTTTTAATCCCCTTTTTGGTTGCAAACTTGCTTTTGTGCTCAAATAAAAATTATACGAAAAAAAAAATTTGCTTGTAAAATTTTGCTTTTTGTGTTTATAACGTAGTCCAGGATGAGCATTTTACCCAAAAATTCAAAAACCACAAAGAAGTGTTTTTTTTGTATACTCGTTTATTTTTTTTTGTTTCATTTGCTAAGATAAAAGTAAATTTGTGAAATTTAGGCCTTTTTTTTCAACCACCAAAATGGAAAAAGTGATTGTTGTACAATTTTATAGAATGGAAAAACGCTTATTTTGCTATTTTCATACACTTACTTGTCCTCTATGAAATTGTATGAAAGCATTTTTTTTTCAAATATGAAAACATTGTATGATTGTCACCCCGGGCTTTGGCACCAATATATACTAATTTTAAGGAGGAGAGCGCGCCGAGAAAACGCGATTTTTTGGCCAACATTGTCGAAAAAGAGGGCTAAAACGTTTTTTGGCCTGTGTTTTTAAAGTTTTGACTGCTGCGCAAAAAACTTGGCCAAAACAGGGTTTTTTCAGTTCTGTGAGTGCTCAGAAAATTAATATGATCGACCTCAAAAAAAGATCGACAAAACTTTGAAAATGATTCCCCCCCTCTTCGAGAAAACCCTAGATCCGCCCCTGGACGACATATATGCTCAATGTTGTTTTTACAGTTGAGATGAACGTCTTTGTTTTGATCTGAAATCGTGACCATCAAATTTTTTATAGAATATGTTGGATCTACTTAACAATTTCCCCCTTTTAAGAAAGGGGGGCAATTGTTAAAAAGATTAAAGTAACGCATTTTTGAGCAATCAGAATGCAGCAAAATTCTAATTCTCAACAGACAGCTCAGTGCTAACTTACTGCTTTTTTTAAATAGGGGTGGCAATTCTTAAGTAGATACCAAAGGGGGGCAATTGTTAAGTAGATCCGATATGTTTCATAGGGTTGAAAATCGATGTATATATTTATAGATAGCCTTGCCTCCGCATAAGAAAGTCTTTTCCGGTTATTGGTTATCATGCTCAAATCTATAAATTTCTCGAGTAGGGGCGTTTTTAAAAAAGAGTACGGCTTTTTTTCCTTTCCCCCACCCGCAATTTTTAAAATAACTGTTCACTTTGTTCAATTATAATGAAAATTGACGTGCAGACTTGCAGACTAATAAGGCCATGGCAAACATACTTGGTCTACAAAATCAACCTTGTAAAACCAGTCGTTAGACCATAAACTTATAAAATGCATAATTGTGTGAGGTGGGGTGGGTGGGTTTGGGGGGGGGGGGGTTGGGGGGAGGAAAGAAGTACGTTTTCTGCCAAGAGTACATTTTCTCGACTGTTTTTGTAGATAGACCAAATGTAATTTCCGAGATCTCTCAAAACAATTGAAACCCTATTTTGAAGCGCCGCAAGCGAGTGTTTCGAAAAAAACGGGCCAAAAATGCCATTTTGTGTGAAGTTTTGCAAAGTTTTGGAGCGCTACTCGCAGATCACGACCGTCTCCTTATTAAATTTGGTGCCAAAATCTCCTTGGAATAATTTTGAGGGAGGTTGACCGAATATTTATGTCGTAAAATAGTACAGATCATTCCCTCCCCTGAGTCCGCCACCGTTGGTCATAGCAAGGTGGCGAGTGAAAGTATTGTCAGCAGTTGAAAAAGTGCGAATTGAGCCGCCTGATGGTAGTCGCACTTTTTTCCAAATGAATAGAAGTAGACATTGGAAAAAAGTGTTTTCATAAAAGCATAGTTCAGCTTGATGTGTGGACGAATGATGAACCATTAGTTTGTTGTAGGGAGTTGGGACCGTGGCCGGAGGAGCCAGTGGACAGGAGCTACGAGGCCTCTGAGAGACTGAAGCAGCTGGCAGAGCCCAAGAAGCAACACCCCAACTTCAAACCAGACAAGTAAGAAGAGATGAAGCAGAAATTTCTTGCAAGTGATTGATGCGAAAATCAATTGCAGTATTATATTAGACCAAAAATCAAAAACTTCAAAGCGGGTTTTCTCGACACAAGGAAAATTTGTTTGAAATTTTTCAATGTGGTTCGAATAACGACTGTAAAGTCTTTAATATGACATATCACTCAACCCCGTCCGATGATTATTTGTTCATTTGATTTTGCGTGGAAAAAAAAGAACTGTAACACACCCGCCCGAATACAAAGTTCCTCCCAATTTTCAAAGACCGGAACAGCAACAAAGTAACGACCATTGTGAATTACAAAACAACAAAAAGTCTAACTTGGAAATGAATGCATTTTTTTATGTTCCAAGCGCAATTTCCCGAGTAAGTATGGATTCAGTGGAAAAAATTCGGATTCAATTACTCCCACGTCTTTCGGCGGCCCGCGACAAGGTTTTTTTGAAAGATGTTTCTGTCAGTTCTCTGATTCTAATTTTGAATTGAAAAATTACACTCCGATTTTCAAAATAATTGTTCAATCGAAGAGCCTTAGCATCGAATTATCTCCAATGAATTTGGAAAAGGCTATGATTGGGGTGCTTCAACTTTTGATCAAACCCAACGTAACAGAATGTTTAATTACTTTCAGGCAAGCCGATGAGAAAAATTCTTAAAATTTCAACGATATGAATCCAGAATGTTTTGTCTGGGAAATAAGATTTGTTTAGTCTACTCTTCAGACAGGATCATCTCAATTCGTTCCATTCAACTTCATGGACAAATGATTTCTGAGATGAGCAAATTAATAAAATTACTTTGTCTGTCACTTTTTGAAAAAATTTGTATCAAAAACATAACATGAGAGATTCAAAAAATTTAAAACCAGCTGTTCGAATAATGACTGGGGTAAGCTTGCTTGAAAATAAAACGATTTGTTTTTGCGTAGCGATTTGGGTCATCAAAAAAATTGATAATTTTCAAATTTTCATATTTTGAGTTCCTTATTAACATTCGAATAATTGAAAAACACTGAAACTTCGAAGTTCAGAATTTCTGTTCTTGAAAGTTTGCTGGAAAAAACTTCGTTTTTTTAATGCAAATCGAGGCCAGCTAGAAAAAAGAACTTCGAATTTGTTGTATTTCAATTCTAGGAAATTTGTAACAGAATTGAAAATTTTCAAAGTTAAAAAATAAAAGCTGAAAAAGTCACAAAAAATTGTGATCTGTTTCAAATTTATAAAACAAGTTCAAATATTTCAAACTTTTTCAACAAGAAAGTCATTCAATCTATTAAATAAATCATTTTGCTTAAACTTTCTTTCAAAGTTTTCAAACTAATCAATTCGGAACATAGAAAAAGGTTTGATTTAAATCAATTGTTCTTATTTTGATTAGTTTGCTAAAACTCTTGTATCTTTTCTTGAAATCTTGTATCTTTTCTTGAATCAAAATAACATCAATTGATAGCTTTTTATTACAATTGAGGTTTGATTGACTCATTGAAGCTATGAAAATTTCACGACTAGAATAGCTTGCTTCAAAAACAGAACTGTAATTACCATATTCAAGCTATGAAAGAAACCAAAGTAATTCAATTTTCTTCATTAAAAATACTTGAATAAAAAAGAAGATTCTACAAAACAGATTCAAACTAATGGAAACAACTTAAAATATCTAAAATTTTGTTGTTAGAAAAAAATTCAGGCTATTAGATTAACTTGAAACATCTCAAAAAAATTTTGCTTGAAAATAAAACGATTTGTGTTTGCGTAACGATTTGGGTCATCGAAAAAAATGATAATTTTCAAATTTTCATATTTTGAATTCCTTATTAACAAAAAACAAATTGTTGTAAGGAATTTCAATCTATTCAAAGAGTCGTTTGTTTCAATTTTTTGCTTGAAAATTTGCTTGTACCTGAGAAATGAATTTTAAAAATGAAGTCGTAAAATCGAAGTTTAGTGAATCAAAAATTTGTTCTTTGATAAGTTTTTTCTAATTTTTTAAATTTATTTTAGAACAATTTAAGCTATGCAACTGACAAGGAAGTACTTGAAGTTTCATCAGTGGACAGCTAGCCTGCTTGAGAATGAAAAATACTTTTGAAACAAATCAAGCTTTCTAAACAAAAGAAACAAACTAAAAACTGACATTTATCAAAATAATTAGAGATATCAAAAAAACTGCAGCTTCCGAAAAATCATTGTTCAAATCGCTTGCTTAAAAATTGACGTTCTCGTATGAGATTTAATGTTCTAAACCATGAAAGAACTTGCAAGAAATCAAAAAAGAATTCGGTGTCAAAAAACCAACTAAACAATGATAAAAAAATTTGATTCATTGCAAAATTTAGTTGCTTGATTTTTCGGCATCATGTATTTCAAAATTAGTTCCTCATTTCAGGCTATCATTTTAATTGAAATAATTAGAAGTTTCAACGCTTAAAAAATTTGCCTTAGAAACTAACCTTCGACAAAACAATTCTGGCTCTGAAAACAACTTGAAGTCTTTCAAACTTTCATCATCTAACTAATTTACTCAGAAAAAAAATTACTTTTTTCAGCTAATTAAATTTAGGAGAGTATTTCAAAAAATTGGCACTATTTTACATCGTTTTTTTCTGAAAACAAATTAATTGAAACAACTTCAAAAATTCATTATCATCGATTGAAGGAGTGAATAACATAAAAGTTGCTGGGAGGAGTGAATGATTTCAACACTGAAAGTATCTTCAAACATATAAATGTGTCAGTTTTTTAACTGCCTGCTTTTGTAAAAGTAAATTGTTTCTCCGCATTTAGTGCCAGCAAATTAACTGGGAAACTTCGAGCGTTCCAAATAGAAGCGTTTTTTTTTGTTCCGACTTTCGATACGAAAAAAAGGGAATATTTGTGCTCGGGATGATTTTTTTTCTTCAGACAAATTTCGACTTTTTAACTAGAGTTTTTTTTACGGGGTTTATTTATATCATTCAGAAAGTATTGTTGTCCTGAGCTTAAATTTGGAAAGATATTTTATGTGTGATCATTTTTTGTGAAGTTATGAGTGTTTAAGAATTGCTATTTTAGCCAATTTTGGACAATTAACGCGCGATATATTCGCGCTATTAACGCGTACGCGGAGATTTAATCCGTCATAGAAATCGTTCCAAATTGATTGAAGTAAGCTTATATGCTATAATTGATTTGTTAAAAGAATCGAAATTTATCACTTAATACTTAATAAGGCGTGTGGGGTGATGATTTTCACAAAATATCAAATTTTTTACAAAACTTTTTGCTTTTTTTTTTCATGTTATTACTGCTTCATAGACCTAAAAAGGCACTGGGAATGTTCAAGGCTTCGCCCTGAAACGAGCAGTCTTGTTGTTCCGAATTTCGATACAAAAATAATGGAATATTTGTGCTCATGGTGGGTTTTTTTCTTCAGACAAATTTTGACTTTTTAACTAACCATTTTTGACGGAAATTTTTTATCATTCGAAATCTATTGTTGTCTTGAGCTTAAATTTGATAAGATATTCTATCTGTGAACATTTTTTGTGAAGTTATGAGTGTTTAAGAATTGCTATTTTAGCCAATTTGGGACAATTAACGCGCGATATAATTTGCGCTATTAACGCGTAAACGGATATTTAATCTGTGTTAGAAATCGTTCCAAACTGTTTGAAAGAGGCCTGTTTGCCATAGTTGATTGGTTACAAGGAGCTTTCTTTCTGTACTTTAAATGGCGTGTGAGATGATGATTTTTGTATAAAATTTCAAATTTTAGAAAAAAAAAATTAATTTTTTTATATTACATTTAATCTTTTATGTTATTACTGCTCCATAAACCTTGAAAGGCATTCGGAACTTTCAGGGTTTTGCCCTGATACGAGCAGTCTTGTTATTTTTTACAAATTAATTTCATGTATCAGTACAGCTGAAAGCAGCCGCTATCACTGAAAAAGATCGTCATCCATTGCATTGAACATTTTTGCCTTGAACTTTATTGGTTTGTTAGGCACTTCATTTTCAGATAGCAATTCAAACTAAAAAATGTTTTGCGATAGTTCAGAGTTTTATCGGTTGAAGTATAGGCTATATCGACAGTTTTGACCTTTGCGAAACGGTTGAAGCTCTCAAAACAGCTATAAACTACTTCCTTGAACTAAGCGGCAGGGCTTTGTTCAAAAAATTCATATTTTCCGCAGTAAAACTGAAGCAGTTCAAGTTGATCATTGGTTAAAAACTAGCCTGCTCAGCAAAACTTTTACATTTGTGAAGAACAAATTGACGCTATTAAAACGACCAGCAAACACTAACATGCATGGATGCTTGATTTGAATATCTCTATTCACTAGTTTTTGTAGTTTAAATTGAGCGAAAGCTATCTTGACTCTCAAAATTTTTAGTCAATTGAAATCAATTGAAATTGTTGATGTTTTTTTCACAACATTAGTCATAACAAATTAATAGATAATACAGTAAGAAGCTAAACTGTGCACTGGATAGGCGCACAATTTTGTGTCTGTACGTTCCTGGATTCCAAAGACCTGGATTCATTAAACATTTTGAAATTTTGTCTGAACGATTAAACTAAATTAAAGAACAAAAGAAGAACAAAGGGAGCGTTCTTGTTGTGGAATCCGCTTACAATTCACAAAATGCACAGTTTGGCCTCGTAAGGCAAATTAATTTCAAACAAACATTTTTCTACTTTGATTTTAACAAGAGCTATCATGGCTTCAAAATTTGGTTTGAGGCATACATTGATACCTCATTGTTAATTTTATTATCTCTTCTAACCATATTTCTACCGAAAATCTCTTGATAAACTTTGGGTTGATTCTTAAGTTGGTACTTCCTTTCTGTTTCTTCGAACCTTAAAATTCAAACAAAAAAAAACAATAAGCTTTTAAACGTTGCCAGGAAAAAAGTTGATTTTCCACTTTAACTTTATTTTTGGAAAATCTACTTCCACAAAAAATATGATGTTATAATTGGTTTGTTATAAGTTTTT